ACACAAACAACAATAAATTCACACCCTAAATCCTCACATACACCATACGATATGCCCCATTATAGGATAAGAAACTCCACCCTTGCCTTGAATTGGAGATTGTCTCTAATATCTGGTCGAGTGCAAGCCTTTGCCCCTTTCTAGCAATCATCAATCAACCCCTTTCTCTGCCAAAATCCTCATTCCTCTTTGTCTGCAACCTTGTTTCACAATCTATCTTCCAAAAGTTCCAAACCCTCATTTCTTTTCTTACTGATACTTACCACAAAACCTAATCTCCATACTTTCTTATTCTAAAAAATAGTGTTTCTCTTAGTGGGCCTACATACACACCCCACTATTACTACTATCACAACATAAGCCCAATTAAATAAATAGTCACATAATATAATCTAATATTATTTCCAATAATATTCTTCAACTATGATCGATCCAGACTTTAAATAATACTAACTCGCAAGTAATATTCTAATAATAGTTCTCTGACTAAACCGTCTAATTTATCTGACTATCAACTTACCGCTCAACTCAACATATTTATCCAATTATGCTTCTTAGAATAATAATGATAATTCTTAACTTAATTCCACCAAATTAAATCCGATTATTTATCATGCCACTAAATAAAATAATTCTGACTTCGACGATAAAAATTCGAATTAATATAAAATATTCAAAAATATTTAATTAAATAAATAATTAAATATCGGGACATTACATCCTCCTCCTCACCTCCCTCTTGTGTGTGAAGTCACTTATTCAACAAGACAAACTATGAAGGTAGAAGAAAATAAGACAATGAAGAAACCTCCCTAGAAGCTCATAAACGAAGAAGGAATGTGAAATTGAGGAAGAGGAAGATGAACATATAAAACAAAATCACTTGAATTCAAGGTAAAGCAAAGGGAACTTGCAAGAAGTAGGAATTTGAGCAAGAAGGTGAAAAAGTTGTTTCAAGTAAGGGGCCATGCTTGTATAAGAAGACAAAGAAAACATATTTATGGCCTATAATGAATGAATCTTATAAGATGAAATCAATGGTGGAGAAATCAACCGCGAGATCACAACGACACTCAAATGCTCTAAACGACAACGCCATTCCCTAGTTTTGGGGCCTGAAGCCACATGTCAGAATAACGTTACAAAATATTTCTCTAACAAGACTGTCATTTAATGGGCATGTTCCCAATACTACCTACTCTCACTCACCAGACTTTTCCAGTTCCACCTTCGAAAGCAAATGTTTGTGCAGGAAGCACAAATAGACAATAGAGGGCAACTCGACAACTTCAATCATTGTGCTACCAAGTAACAACAAGTATTTCGAGGACAACTGTTTTGTGTCGACCAAAGGGCCTGAGCGACATGCCCAATTACGAAGGTCTAATCCAGGACTTCACCAAGTAGGACAAATGGACATGTGGAGCTTTTTCAAGATGCGAGATACTTGATTCTAACCCCCCCCTCAAATGTCCCATGCTGATCAGACGAATCACCACATCACATATCAGATTAGGCGGGGGTTGTTTCGACCATATGGCAAATATAAATCTCACCATGCGCTGATTACATATATTATTTCATTCTCTCTCAAACTAAAATTTCTGAAGCTTTATTAACTTGTATGTTAGAGTGACAATTTTGTAGATCCTCACAACTTCGCAAAATTGAAAAACTCTCGCCGTCACACCGCAATAACTTGTCCACTCTTGCCGTCATACCGAAAGAATTCGTCCCTTCATATTTCTTGTTCCACTAACCACGTAAATTATTATCGACCATATAAACTAAACGCAAGATCCATAGGATTTGTAGGATAAGCGGTACTAAGAGCATCTCCAATAGGAGAACTTATTTTTGGTTGCTTGAGTTATTTTGTGTGAGACCAATTGTCACGTTGCATTTAAGTAACACCTAAGCAATCTAAATCAATTTTACTCCAATAGTGATTTGAATAAGTAATCTATATGTGATCCAATAAATTTATATTTATCCCACCAATTATCAAAATTAATATTATTTAACGTTAAATAATATACTTTTTAGATTGCTTCATGATGTAACTTACACAAATATTTAAACAACGAAAATACCACATATATTTATTTCAATAATAAAAATGTTAAAGTATGAAACTTATAAATCCTAATATGCATTAAGAAACCTTCATTAAATTAGAGATGCTCTAAAACCCAACTACGACAAAACACGACTCATGTTGTTTACATAAAATGTATACAGCTTATTTGTTTTGTTCAAAAAATAAAATAAAAAACTTATCTTCTAATTCCGTTCTTTTATTTTTTTTTTATATTGTTAATAGAATATTGTTTAATAATAAAAATTATACTCTACAAGCAGTTTATAAAATGCTCTCAATTCTTGAGAAAATCATTATGAAAATTAACTTAATTAATTTTCATTTGGAAGAAAGAATTAGTTTATGCAGGCAAAAATTAATTTTTGAAAAAAAAAATCAAACAAGCCAAAAGGAGGGTATGGAAAGTAAGTTTGGATAGTAGGTAGTCCATCCCTAATTTAACCTGCCATCTCCAAAAATATATCTGCCATGCATACATTTTTCATTAATTCCAAAATTGTTTTTGGATAAAATTGAATTAAAATGTGTGAACTAAATTTCCGGTTTCATTTAAAAAAAATTATATTTCATTTAAAATTGTCGATATAAATTTTTATTGTTTATTTTTTAAATTTCGATATCTTTGAAATAATATCGACATTTTTAATAAATACTATGTGATACCAGAAATTTTAATCAATACAAAATTTTCAATAGTATAAATTTTTAACGATTACGATTTTATTGACAGTTTTGTACGGCTGTGATTGCACCGACCGTTTTATATGGTCTAAAATGAATCTAAAGTTGTATAAATAAGGGTCATCTGTTGTTGAGAAAAATATCTTAGAATGTCTCTTTCTTTATTTTTATTAAGGCGGAAATGTACTTCAACAGGGTGAAACCTGTTGTAGAGTTTCGGTTTCCGAAGGACACCGCATGTTTCACCGTCTTGAGATCCACATTGAATGATTTGTTGCCCGACACCGAGAATAGAAAAGTGGGAAAGATCAAATTTCGTGCAGACTAGATTGATACTGATGAAAAGGTAAAATACGACCTTATTGAGTTGAAGACCGACGAAGATTTGAAGGTTATGTGGAGAATATTTCACCGTAGGCTAACTAAAAGACTAATCGAGTTTGATGCGATAATTTCAAGATTTATCGACCAGAGAATCAAGATGTTGAAATATATTGAATCATCTCGTAGTGTCTAGGTTTCATGTTCCTTATTGTTAATTTATGTTAGTTGTAATGTGTTAAGTTATGTTCATCTTCCAAACATGTAATCGACAAAATATTATGTAATAAAAAGTACAACTAAATGGTCTGAGTCACAAAATATACAAATAATACAAATGTAAAATCAAATAGATAAATAGGTCCCTAATATGCTATGTGTGCTACACGCGATAATTTGATAAAAACTTCATCACCTGGGTTTACAGAACCCATGAGGTTATCCATAATAACAACGATCATCTGCAGGCGCTGCTGGTCATCAACACTAGGTGGAGGCGACAACACGTCAACGATAGGTCCCCAATCATCAAAACACATATCATCATCATTTGTATACTCAACATGTGGGAGAATGCAAGAGTGTGAAATAGTAAGGTACCACTCCAAGTAACCATCCTCACACTGCACATCATGTTGAAACCTCATTACACTATCTCTAATGGCACATGTAGAGCTGATGATGTTACTCTGAAACCACCAGTCAATGTCCAAAGCTGGAACAATAGGAACTGACCGTGGGATGCCCTAGACATACTAATATAATCGCAAATACCTCTCAGGTAAGTGTCTAGACATTAAGGTCTCCCACCGTATATAACAGAAAAAATAGAGAAGACTCGTCAAACTCATGATGGACTCTGTGATCTATGTAGAGGTCCTGGTTAAATCCTCTATTGTTAGCATATCAAGTTTCCTCTTGTACTCTGCAACACCACCTGGATTTGCTTGCTTAACCTTCCATCTCTTCGCCAATGAGGAGCCAGCAGAGGTATGTTACACCCTCTTGTCACAAATGGTGGAAAAATGCTAGTATATCCAACACTGATAAAAGAACATACACAAATCAAGAAATATCATACATAACAATTAAATTAGAACTAAGTTACAAATAATAATTTTTAATATAACTGGAATATACTTAAATAGCCAGCAAGCTGTCTGGTCTCAAAGGCAATTACAACTCAAATTTCTGCATATAGGATAGTCAATGCAACGCATCCCTAAGCCTAGCTAGTATGCTCAAGGCTACTAAGAAACCACAAGTAATAAGAATCAATATAAACATGAGACTTATTTGCAAAGATAGTACATGCTACTAAATGTAGCGTGTACACCTTTGCAAGTGGCTCATACATTTGTCGCTCTACAATCTCGATATAGATGTCCTGAAGCCAAGACATCCGAAAGTGAGCTCCATATTAAAATCAAACTCCTTGAGCATGACCTCCTCAGTAATTCCCAAATTCCGTGTAGTCGGATACATCCATGCTCCTATTTAATAACATGAGCGGTGAAGAATCTACCGACAATGGAGAGATGGAACAAGGAGAAGACATCATCCAAATTGATAGTCATCTCCTCAAATAGAAGATGAAAGAAAAATGTCTCATTGTACCATCGCTTAACAAAGGTATACAAGAGTGAAGTGTCAAGTTGTGTGAGTGAGCAGTCACCCATTGATAGCAGATCGAAATCGGCAACAATCTAACTAACCGTCTTAGGCATCAGAACCTTACAAAATTTCTTCATCTTTTACCAGTGGGATGTCACGTTCAGCATGGGACTGTCCTATAACAAACAAAGTTAAAAAAAAATAGTTAGTTTCAACACATAAAGTATCAATAATAAATAAATTAAAGTTAAACAATAAATATATACACCTCTCTCTGTCATAATCAGTATGCCACATAGTCAACATATTCTATAAGCACTGATCGATCACTGGGTCCTCCAGGGAACTCTCTGTTAGTGTGCACAGATGGCTCCATCGAAGCAGGAGCCATATTCTTTATATCACAAGCAGCAATAGCCTCAACGTCAGTTGTCTCAGCGTCAATAGTAATAGGAATCACATCTGTCTCTATCTCATTAGTAATATGGGTCGCATCTGTCTCGACCACCTCATCAACAATAGGGGATGTATCTGTCTCGACCACCTCATCATCAATAGGGGTCGCATCCTGTCTCGGCCACCTCAGTTGGGTCAATAACAACCTGACCTTGCACCTCCTCAGCATGAACAACCTCAACAACCTACTAATCTACATCATCTCAAGGTTGCTCATCTAACTTAACCGCTAGACGTCGAGTGCTACGGTATACGTGGAAGAGTTGTGCAGCCAAACATTTTTTGTGAAAACCAGTTGAAGCTATTCTCTCAGCCCGTAGGTGTGAAGACTCTGCCTCAGTTGCCCTAGCATGGACTTCCTTTTTATCTGTGATCATGCCTGCAATAATGCCGTCATTTCCCTTGGTATTCACCACAAAATAGAAAAAATTCAAAAAATCAATGAACTACTGACAATTTCAAAATTTCCGGTATTCTACAGCAATTAACGACAACTTCAAAATTTTCTATAATATGTTAAAAAATTGAACTATCGACATTTTCAAAATTTTCGATACTATTTTTAAAAATTTAAACTATCAACATTTTCAAAATTTCCGATATCAATGTATGAATAAATATCGACAAGACTAAAATCTCCGATAAAAACTCATATATTTATACCGACATTTTTAAAATTCACGATACAAATACAAATAATTTTAACAAAAATTTGAAATTTTTTAATAAAAACTCATGAAACTTAAATAAAAAAATTTACTTTTCAATAAATTTCTGATATGAAATGTGAAATTTCCGATATCACTGATAAATGTGAAATTTCCGATATCACTGATAAATGTGAAAATTTAGAATGGATTTAAAAAATAATTTAAAAATGGTAGAGAATAACATAGTCAATTCACTCTATGTATAGAGGTGTTTGATATAAATTTTGGTGGCATAAGTTAAATTCTCCTGATAGAATAGATCTATAAACCCAAGTCAGGCCCAAAAATCCAAAATAATTCGCAAATCAACGTACCGTCAAATTTCCAGCTCCAACGTTTCTCCAATCAAACGTGTTTTGTATACGCGCGTATTCGAGCACACCAACTGTTCGATTATATGCGTCACTCAATGAAGAACAAAACACTTCCTCGTTTATGATCTAAACGTTGCTAAATGTCGATGAATTCAAGTCCTTTTCTTCGCAATTTCAACACCTTGCAACTTCGCATTCAATTTCGTTTCTATACCCGTCGTCGTGACCCTTTTCCCACAAAAATCTGCCACTACCTAAACCGTGCAAAGCTCATAGATTCAATTCGACTTTCTCTACGCTCCAACAACCCTAACTCCACACTCCCCACTCTCATAACCCACCGCTTATTCGACTCTTTTGTTGTCACTCATGCACTTCGTTCTGCACCTTGTGCAGATTCTGCACTTTCACTCATTCGTACTATAGAGAAAACAGAAAGTACACATTTTTCACATACCCAGAATACCCTTCACGCTCTTGCCACTGTGCTAGCAAAATCTGGTAGATGTGATGAGCTTAGATCCCTCATTGATGATATCCAAAGGAAAAGGTTTGGAAATGTTAAGATCAGTTTTATGAATCTAATGCAGTGGTATGCTGCAGCTAGGGATATTGATTCTGTTCTCGAGGTTTGGGATCGGTATAGAGTTGATGTGAGTAACCGTGTATGTACTGAATCTTATAACATTGTTATGTCTCTTTATGTAGAAATGGGTAAGGACTATGAGGCTGTTGGAGTTTTTTGTAAAATGGTTGATGAAGGTTCGGTTCCTAATTGTAGAAGCTTTAGTATAATAATTGAGCATCTTGTGAAAGCAAGGAAGTTTTTGGAAGCTATTGAGGTTTTTAATTTGTTGCCTTTGATGAGGATTAAGCGGACTTTGAAGCAGTACTCGGTTCTAATTGAAGGTTTGGTTGGTAGTAAAATGTTTGATGAAGTTGGAGTTTTGGTTACTGAGATGCAAGTTGATGGAATATTACCTAGTCGAACAGTGAGTTTGTTATTGAAGCAGGTGAAGGATGAAGGATTTCTTAAGGATATGGATGAATTGTTGTTTACAGAAATTTGCCCGGATGAAAGAATCAAGAATGTAAGATATTGTAATGATAGTAGTGATGGGGATGAGAATGAGGACGAGGGTGAAAATGAAAATGGGAATGGTGATTTGCAATGTGATCATGTAAATGGGATCCGCTTAAAACCCTGGCTGGACCTGCGGTCTCTGGCTAGTGCCTTACAGAACTGGAGTCCTGGTGAGGTATCAGCACTAGAGAATGCAAAGTTTGTATGGACAACTAGGTTGGTGTGCAAGATGCTTAGAAGTTTCAATAAACCAGATACTGCGTGGAATTTCTTTTGCTGGGTTGCGGGTCAACCTGGATTTACTCATAATATATACACGGTGCAAAGAATCATGACCCTTCTAGCGCGCCATGGACGTACTGAGTTAGTTGATAAACTCATCTCCAAGATCAGAATAGAGGGAATGAGACTACCATTCAGCACCTTAAGATTAATCATTGACTTTTATGGGATTTCAAAAAATGCTGATGCTGCTCTGAAGGTTTTCAATGATGATCGAATACTTTGTGGGTCTATATCAAAAGTTAATATGATGCTTCTGTATTCGTCTCTTTTAAGAACGTTAACCAAGTGTGGCAACGATTCTGATGCTCTGGAAATGCTTGATGAGATGATTTTAAATGGAATTTGCCCAGATATCCAAACATTTTCAGGTCTAATGCAATATTTTTCACAACTTGGTGACATTAAAACTGCACAGACACTCTTTTCAATGGTCAGACAGAGCGGTTTTGAGCCAGACGCGTATCTGTTTAAGGTCCTAATTGAAGGTTATTGCAAGTCGAAAAGAGCTGCACTGGCTTGGAGGCTATTTGAAGACATGAAGAATTCGGGTTTGATGCCTGATTTTGCCACCAAAGAGTTGCTTGTGAAGAGCCTCTGGAGAGAAGGGAGACGGAGAGAGGCCGCAGCGGTAGAAGAGAGCTGTGAGGAAGTGAAAATGGTCCTTCCACCTGCATTGCCTGGTCATGTATGGACTGTCAGCTCTGCAGATCTCACAAGAGTTTTTAACATTTATTCAAATTGTTTTACTTCAAAAGGTGGCTAGAGTTATCCATTGGGCTATATGATAGGGGTGTACTTCACCATGCATGAAATCTCAGCACAAAGCATAACGAGTGAAAAACAATACCCACATTCCTTAACCTTTGATATTTTTTTGGGAGGGGCTGCGAAAAAATTGTTAGTTGCAGTAATTATTTGAGTTTTAAAAATGTATTGTTGGCAAAACATGAGTTGATACTCAGGAATTAGCTCTTGTTCTGATGGATGCTTAATGCTTCATTGTAATTATATTAACTTGGTCAAGTGCTAGAAATCATCTTGGCACAATCACAGGATGAATGAACCTTTGGTTGAAAGCTACATTCGGTCGTCTGCTGACTTCTGCAACTTGAGGGGAATCTAATGATTTTTTATTTATTAGTATCGCTGTTGCTTATTGCAATTATCAATTCCTTTTAATTTTCTTACAAAAAGAGTTGGTTACAAGATCTCCTTAAGATATTGTTTTCAGTTTCTTTTGTTTATGAAGGGTTTCTCTATGCGGAACTGTGAAGACTAATCCTTCGAGTCAGGTTGTGTCCATGAGCGGCAAAGTTGTCCATGAAGAGTTTTAACACTGTTGTATTCTTATGAAGTACAAAAAGCCACACTCAAGCAACAAAGGGTATGGGTAAGAAGCACATCTTCTTATTCTACTTAATTTAGCAGGAGAAGTCAAGCTTATGTGGCGATGTAAATGTCGTTTGTATCCAAGTTAGCTTTGTACTAGAAATAGGGAACATATAAATTATAGAGTTTGTTAAGGTGTTTTCATATATTAAAACCTTGGTAACTAAAAGTGTCAACATTATTAGCTGTTCATTGCATTGTGTATATTATAATAGCATATATATCATAGACTTGGCCTTTGTTAAACGTTAAATCATATCTTTTGTGAGCCTGCCCCTTAAAAATATGGTAAAGGCATCAAGTTAGATAGTCTTTAGGTACCAGCCAGCTAGCTGACATTGTGTAAGGACACCATATTGGGTTACAATACTATTATTAATTTATTACCATCTTTATTATATTCTGCGCATGATTTATACTTAATTTGGATTTGTCCACAGTGTCTAAGATTTGAAATGGAAAAATAGTAAAACTAATGACAGAGACAGAAGCATATATTTTTAATATCAAACCAAAAGATATGTCCAAAGAAGAGATGGATTTAAAGTTAGAGGTATAACAATAAGTTTTGGTTGTTACTTGCCATAAGAAAATTTCTTTTCTCTTCCCCATAATTTGCATTTCTTCATAATTTCACAACAATGGCTATCTTCTTTCTTCCTTCTAGTTCTCATGCTCTTTTTCTTGCACTCATGTTGTTTTTTGTCACTAATATTTCAGCTCAACCACTACAACTCAGTGGAACAAACTTTTCATGCCCGGTGGATTCACCTCCTTCATGTGAAACCTATGTGACATACTTTGCTCGATCTCCAAACTTTTTGAGCCTAACTAACATATCTGATATATTTGATATGAGTCCTTTATCCATTGCAAAAGCTAGTAACATAGAAGACGAGGACAAGAAGCTGGTTGAAGGCCAAGTCTTACTAGTACCTGTAACTTGTGGTTGCACTAGAACTCGCTATTTCGCGAATTTCACCTACACAATCAAGCTAGGTGACAACTATTTCATAGTTTCAACCACTTCATACCAGAATCTTACAAATTATGTGGAATTCGAAAATTTCAACCCTAATCTAAGTCCAAATCTATTGCCACCAGAAATCAAAATTGTAGTCCCTTTATTCTGCAAATGCCCGTCGAAGAATCAGTTGAACAAAGGAATAAAGTATCTGATTACTTATGTGTGGCAGTCTAATGATAATGTTACCCTCGTAAGTTCTAAGTTTGGTGCATCACTGGGGGACATGTTTACTGAAAACAATCAAAACTTCACTGCTTCAACCAACGTTCCAATTTTGATCCCCGTGACAAAGTTACCGGTAATGGATCAACCGTCTTCTAATGGAAGAAAAAACAGCACTCAAAAACCTGCTTTTATAAT